CAGCTGGCCAATAGAAACTACCCTGTAAGATGGAGAATCTGGCTGACCTCACCCTTAGTTTTGTTGCCTCCTTAGGGTCTGCTGGAAGGGTTCCATTCTGCAGGTAGTCTCGGATGGGGTCCATCCAACTTGTTAAATTCAAGACTGGGAGCACTTCTTCCTGAATTCCTATTAAAGGTTTTGCTAAATGTTCTACTGGAATCAACATGTCCAGGTTCTCTTGAGAAACGGTTGCCAACCTTGCTAGCGCATCTGCTCGTGAATTTTCTGACCTGGGAACATGTCTGAATTTTACTTGCATATACTTCTTGATTAGCTCCTGCACCCTTCTAAGATATAGAATCATTTTTTCCCTTTGGCCTCGTAAGATCCCTCTATCTGATTTATCATGAGCTACGAGTCACTGTAGATCTCAAGCTGTTCTGCTTCCATTGAGTGTGCGAGGCTGAGCCTGCTATAACGGCCTTGTGCGTTGGCAGTGCCATTTACTGAGAGACTCCATGTAAGGAGGTCAGGAACCAATTGCACCGCTTCCATGGGTTGGTCTGCTGTGAATTCCGCTATAAAATCTACTAGGACCTGTCCCTTGATGGCTACTCTTGGTTTACATCTGATATCGAACTCACTAAGCTCGATAGCCCACTTAACCAACCTTTCCGAGGACTCTGGCTTATGCAGCACTTGCTTCATTGGCTGATCTGTTGGTACTTCTTGGAAGTATGGTTTGAGCCTTCTAGCAGTTGTGACTAAAGCCAAGACAAGATTTTCCATCTTTGGGTATCTCTCTTCAGCCCCCCTCAGAGCTCTGCTACAGTAGTAAATTGGGTGCTGAGCTTTATCTCGCTCCCTTACTAGTATTGCACTAGTTGAGAAGTTTAAGACAGCTAAGTAGAGGGTAAGTACTTCCCCTTCCAAGGTGCTAACCAGAACTGGGGGTGCTCAAATTGTCCTTTAGAGCTTTGAATGCTTCCTTTGCATCTGGTATCCCATTGAATTGCCTTCTTTAGGACTTGGAAAAACGGTTGGCACTTATCACTTGATCTGGATACAAAATGGCTTAGTGTTGCCACTCTTCCTGTCAGATGTTGAACCTCTTTGGTGTTGGAGGGTGACTTCATATCCATCACTGCCTTTATTTTAACTGGATTAACTTCAATTCCCCTGCTATTGACTATGAAACCAATGAATTTTCTGCAGATACTCCGAAAGCACATTTGGTAGGATTTAGCTTTATTTTGTACTTCTTAAGGACCTGAAATGACTCTGCTAGGTGCTCTATATAGAGCTCTGCCTTTAATGATTTTACCAGCATATCATTGATGTACACTTCCATTGTCATCCCAATCTGTTTCTAAGACATTCGATTTATCAAGCGTTGGTAAGTGGCTCCTTCATTCTTCAGTCTGAAATGCTTTACTTGGTAGTAGTATGTTCCTTGCTTCGTAACAAATGAGGTCTTCCCCTGGTTGCTGGGATACATTCTGATCTGATTGTAACCAGAGAAGGCATCTATGAAACTTAGGAGCTTGTGCCCTGCGGTGGCATCTACGATCAAGTCTATACAGGGTAAGGGGAAACTATCCTTAGGGCAAGCACGATTGAGGGCAGTAAAGTCGATGCAAAGACGTCATTTCCCGTTGGTCTTTTTAACTAGGACCACGTTAGCTAACCAAGCGAGATAATTTACCTCTCTGATGGCTTTGGCATGCAAAAGCTTGCATGCTTCTTCATTAATGGCCTTTTTTCGCTCAGGGGCAAAACTTCTTCTCTTCTATTTAATGGGTTTACTGGTGGGGTTCATGCTGAGCTTGTATAAGATGACTGAAGGGTCGATTCTCGTCATATCTTCCTGCTTCCAAGTAAACACACCAACATTCTCCTTCAAGAATTGGATGAGGAGGTCTTTGATTTCTCTGCTCAACTTAGATCCTATGTAGACAAGATGCTCTGGTTCTTCATCAAGCTGGACTGGTTCCAGCTCTTTTGACGGTGTTGGTCTGGTGTCCACTTCATTCCTCATGTTGAGCTCGTCCAGTTGAATATTTTTGACCTCCTTTCTCTTGACAGACACCATGTAGCATTCTCGTGCCACACATTGGTCTCCTTGGACAATACCCACCCCATTTTCAATAGGAACTTCATAACAGGTGGTAAGCTGAAAGTATAGCCCTCATTGCATTGATGGAAGGTCTTCCTAGCAACATGTTATACGTTGAAGGGCGTCAACTTCTAGAAATTTTACATAAGTGGAGGTATGACAGGGAGGGTCCCCAATTGCGAGCAAGACTGAATCGACCCCAGTGGAAGTACCATTTTTCTTGAGAATCCCGACAGGTGGGTGGTTACTGACTCGAGCTTTTCTCTGTCTATCTCCATCTTATCAAACACCGGTGCAAAGATGATGTTTGTAGAGCTCCCGTTGTCAATCAGAACTTGATGAACAGTTCTGTTAGCAACAACTGCTCTTACTACTAAGGGATCATCATGGGGATGTTGGCAACCTTCCAGATCTGAGTTTAAGAAAGTGATAGGTATGTCCAGACGTGGAGTCTTGGATACAGTATGTACTTCTAGTGCTTCATCAGCTTTGATTCTACGTAAGTGAGCTTTCCTAGCCGAGTTGGATTCCCCTCCTCCTGTAAATCCTCCTGATATTACTCTGATTTCCCCTAGGGGTTGCTGATGCTGCACGGGGGCTTGTTGCTGAGGTGCTGGGGGCAGCGGAGCTCTGTTCTGAGTATCATGGGCAATAAAACAATGTAATTGCCCCCTTTGGATCAAGAATTCAATCTCCTTTCTTGAGCTGGATGCAGTCATCAGTATGGTGACCATGATCTTTGTGATATTCATAATACTTCGTAGGATCCCTCTTTGCTAGATTTGCTTTCATTCGAGAAAAGCCATCTTAAGAACTTTTCATTTTGCACCTCATACAGGATCTGGGATACCGTGGTAGTGAGTGAGGTATACTGCTGAGGTGCACACCTTGGCTGTAACTCAGGCAGTAGGGGGCCTAGATAGTCTCTGACATTTCTCCTCCTTTTGGGGAATGTTCTTTATCTCTCCTAGGAGATCTGTCTCTTCTTGAAGACCTGTTTCTTTCTCTTTCTTTCCTGGGGCTTCGATCCCTTTCTTTTCCTCCTTCTCCTTACCTTTTTACGAAGACGAGCTCCCTACCTTTGGAAGGGGAGCTTCCTCGCCGTTGATATACTTCTTTGCTTTAGCCAACACCTCGGTCATGCTTGCTTAAGGATTCTTGGATATGGAGAACATCAAATCCTTTGACTGTATTCCCAATCCTGCTATGAAAGCAGTAATTACAAATTTTTCTTCTGGGATATCTACCTTTAGGGATTCCGAGATAAATCTTTGAACATAGGACCTTAGGTTTTCCCGAGGTCCCTGCTTCACATTTAGCAAATGGTAGCTCGACTTTCTGTATATCCGAGCTCCAATGAAGTGAGACACAAAGGATATCGAGAACTCTTTGAATGAGGAGATCGAGATCGGGGGAAGTCGGTTAAACCATGCTAAGGCTGATCCTTTCAAGGTTATAGCAAAAGTGCTACAACAAACAGGGTCTTGATATCCATACAACTCCATCTGGTTCTTATAGGTGTTCAGGTGGTCCATAGGGTCCCTAGTTCCATCAAAAGTTTCTACCTGTGGCATTCTAAATTTTGGCAGGAGAGAGAAATGTAATATCCCATGAGTAAACGGGGACTCAGTTTATTGCACCAAGGCGTCCATGGTTATTGAGGTTTTACTCCTCACGGCCTCCTTCATGTGGCTGAGCTCCTATTAAATATCTTTGAAGCGTTGTTCCCAATATTGGTCTTTTCACTCCTACTAGACTAGGCGAAGGTTATTCTTCTCAATCTTATTACTTCGGCTCTGCACCTCTTCATTGTCCCCGTTCCTTAGAGGATGTTGGAGAACCTGGCTATTTTCTCCTCCTTTGTCGGTTTCCCGGAATGGGTCAAGAGGTTGTTGTCCCCTGTGAGGGGGATCATTTTGGCCTCCTTGGGCTGGTTGTTTCTCCTATGGTTGTTGTAAAAGCTTCAAGAATTCTTCATTTTGCTTTATCAGGCGTTGATTTACCAAGCGGAGGGCCTCCAACTCGTTTCTTGTAGGAGGATCCACCATAGGAGGATTGACATCTGTGGTTGGGAAGAAATCTTGTGGATCTTCGTGATGTCTATTTGTGTTCTCCTGCTAGTTCTGCATTCGTGGGGGATTTATTTGGCTTCTGCTCATGTTACAGGTTGAGACCATTAGTTACTGAAGAATCAAGGTACTTATAACGAGAACTATCGTTCCCACAAACGGCGTCAAACTGATGGTGCAATTAACGTGGATGAACAGAGGGTCAATATTATGCTTGACTACCTGGGACTGAGTTTCTTGGCTCGTGAGGATCGTAACAAAGAATTTTAGGGATTTGGAGAGGGGATTACATAGTGAAAATATAGTGGTTCACCAGCTCAGGAGCTCAACTAATCCACTCTTCAATGGAGATTCTTGCTCCTATTGATTTAATAAATGTGGATGAAATTTATAGTTTTCCTCTCAGGTAATCTGAGATTCTCTAGCCTTATTGGAGGTGCTACACAGTATTTATAGAGCTGTTCCTTGATATGTAGGATCTCTGTCGAGATCCTAGCCTTTCATCCATAGATTCCTTCTTGATTTTTGGAGAGTATTTTGGTTGGTTGAAGGTTTTGCGCCTTGGATATGGCTCTCGACAGTTTATAGGGTTCCAGCTAACATCCAGCTGTTCCCTTATCATTTTTGTTATTGTCTCGTTTGGGGGAGCTCTAACTCTGATCCTCTAAGCTCTGTGTGTCTTGCTTGACCTCTTGTCCGACCTCCGCGCCTGAGCACATGCTTTAGAAATTATTCTTTGTATCATCACAATCCATTGGGTCTGCATTAAGTAACCCTCCTCATCCATTCGAAGAAACATACAACATCACATTTAATCAAGAAAATAAATCATAATGATGTACAACGAGAGTAGTAATTTTTATAGCATAAGTGCGTATGGTTTGGTGAGCAAGGAAAACACACACACACAGATGGCGAGCTGTTCCTTGTTAATGACATCAATCGAGTCCAATTACAGGGCATGCACCATCCCTTACAAATTCCCATTGGACAATCCCAAATTAGATTGATCTCTTCCTCAATTCCATTCCCTCTTTCGAAAACGGGCCGAGAGTGATGATACCGTTTCTGATGCTCTGATCAGAGTTGACAAGTTTGCTCAAAGGTATGCTGAAATATTAGAGGATTTTAAGAACGATCCTGAAAGTCAAGGTGGGCCACCTGATTGCATTCTTCTTTGCCAGCTTCGTGATCAAGTCCTTAGGCAAGTGGGATTCAAAGATATATTCAAGAAGGTTAAGGATGAAGAAAATACAAAGGCAATATCCTTATTTGAGGATGTAGTTCATCTTAATGATGCTATAGAGAATGATGCCAAGCATGTATAGAATTTGGTTAGAGGAATATTTGTAGGGAACATATTTGATCTTGGTTCTGCTCAGCTTGCAGAGTTATTCTCAAAGGATGGAATATCCTTTCTCGCTAGTTGTCAAAATCTTGTCTCTCGACCTTGGGTAGTTGATGATTTGGACACTTTTATATTAAAATGGGGCAGGAAATCTTGGAAAAAGGCTGTCATTTTTGTGGATAATTCTGGTGCTGACATAATATTGGGCATATTGCCATTTGCGAGAGAGTTACTCCGCCATGGGACACAGGTTATGTTGGTAGCTAATGACTTACCTTCTATCAATGATGTAACTTATCCTGAACTAATTGAGATTATTTCAAAGTTGACGGATGAGCATGAGCATCTTGTCGGCATTGCTATTTCCAATCTTCTGATTGCGAACTCTGGCAATGATTTGTCAGTTATAGATCTTAGTTGAGTATTGCAAGAGCTTGCCTACTTAGCCAGCGGTGCATACTTGGTTATTTTGGAAGGAATGGGCAGTGGAGTAGAGACAAATCTCTATGCTCAATTGAAATGCGATTCACTCAAGATTGGGATGGTGAAGCACCCAAAGGTTGCTCAGTTCCTAGGAGGAATATTGTATGACTGTGTCTTCAAGTACAATGAAAATTTGAGTTGAAAATATATTCTAGTCAGTATCAATGACCTAATTGTTTGCATTTGAGCATATTAACATCATAGAATGAGGTGATAAGTAATTGTGGAGCTATCTGTGCAAATTGCAAAAATCGGTTGAAATTGCAGCTTTCCCTCATCAAAATACAATTTGAATTCTTGATGGGCAAACAATAGAGTTTTTCCTTATGCACATTTGGGGACGTGTGCTTTGTCATTCTTTAATTCAGAACTGTTTAATTGTTTAAAAAAAAGTGGTAACTTTCATATTTTTATTTTATTTGATTGCATTGTTAGAATTAAAATTTAATTGGGAGTATTTTAGGATCTTTAGTTTTCTAAAGCATGTCAATTTTCCTAATTATATTAGACATTTTTTTTCTTTTTGGTAACAATATTAAAATAAGGGATTGTTTCCATTTGGGAAATTTTAGGGTTTTGTGTTTCCCTACAAATTGTCATATGTATTACAATTCTATATAGTTAATCAATTGAATATTACAATAGTTCAAGAGTTCTCTCTTGTTCTTTTGTATTGATTTAGACTGTTCTTGTTCTACATGCTTAGAGACAATGATCTCTTCATTTTGTAGTTTACCGCCGCATCAATTGGTATTAGACCGTTGACTGACCTGACATGATCTCTAATCAACTGGGGACACATGATCTCTAATCAACAAAGTGGGGACAACTTTTTCCATGACAATGATCATGGGAAAAGGGCTCTCCCAAGAGCCAACTTCTTGGATTTTCAACTACAACGACAATAATTTTAACAGTCCTTGCAAAAGCTGCAAGTTACGGTTCTTCAGTTGAAGTTGAGTCCAAACTAGGATCGCAATTGAGATAAGGTGCTGAACGGTGATAGAACTTGTGTTCAACCTTTTCAGAATTGTAATCCTATTTATACTATGAGACTGTGTGTTCGTCATATAACTACCCGAGTATCACTATTGCCTATTGTAATGATGTTTAGGTGCATGGTACATATCAATCTATGAAACAACAAAGTGAGTTTGGGTTGGGACAATCAATTCGAGGTAATATTGGGTCACAATCTCTTTGTATCATATAATGACTATTCTGTGCATCAAATTTCATATCAAAAATTCATGAATTTGAATTTTTCAAGCATTTCGAGGGCTCAGAAAAGTAATGAGAAAAATATTGATTCAAGTATTCTCACGTTTAATAATTATGCAAGTCCAGAAGAGAGAAAAATTGAATGTTATTAGGACTCAAAAATTGATGACGATGATGAGACAAAATAGATTTATGGTGATATTGGAGAGCCACTTGAAAGTTATGAACAAAAAAATAGCGTAAAAAATGATGAAACAAATAGCCATCCATAATTGTTGATGTACTAGTCACTGTATGTGACCTCGGTACATCGGAGCTTGATGAAATCTTCGAGCAAGACAAAAGTTGTGAAGAAATTTTGCATGGTGGCAGTTTCCATATCAATTTGGTTGACTATCACGATAATTCAAGAGAGTTGATGGGCATGCATAGTGAATTTATCAAAATATACTTAGATGCTGAGGAGGTTGCGGACAAGTATCATGAAGTGATCTAGTAGAAAGTCAGAGGCATCGCAGATGGCTATAAAATCTTCAAACACTTTCAAAATCTAGTTGGCTTAAGCTGCAGCTTCAACATCATTACCTTCACTATACAAACTGAAGTGCTTCACTTCAAAGCCCTAAGCAGCAACTTTAGAATAGAGAAGGTAGAGATGTATCATGACAGCTTCACTTCAAAGTCGATGTACCATGGCAGCTTCAAAATTGTCCCTTCGACGGTGTCTCCAAGCAACTTCAAAATCTTTCATTCGATCTCTTGTAACCCTAACAAATCTTTACCCAAATAACCCTAAGAAGCTTTGCACAATTTCACCCGAATTTTTTCAAATAAACAATAAAATAAATGTTGTTGGCCAAGTTTGCCCCTCATAGCATGTCACGTGAGAAGCACATGTCACAGTTCTATTAGGGATTTGGACAGAGGTTAAAAAAAGGACCTATTAGAGACAAATTTATAAGATTAGGGACTAAAATGACAAAATTGAAACATAGGGATCAGAATGACAAAGAACTAATACTTTGGGACAGATAGTGTCGAAAAACCATTAAATAAAAAGATTTTTTTTTTGGTCAGGATTAAATAAAAAGATTGAAAAAGAGAAATAGAGGATAGATCGTCTCTTGAACTACGGCCTGCGACTCAGTATATCAGCAAAGCACTGGATTCTTCGATGGAGGTTTCTGGGCTGGAAGAGGCATTGAAGGTGTTCGAATCCTCTCTTTCTCAAACCAAATGGCGACTTAAAGCTTCTTCAAAGCGTCGGCTTGAGACAGGTTACTTTTTTGTTTCTATCAACCACTCTGCAATTCTCTCAGAATCTCAATTCTTATCTCCATCAAATTCTAGACCCAACTCTTCTTATGATTTTATATCTTTATATATATATATATACACGATTTGATGCTATGTTTGTATATTCTGTATAATACTTACATGGTTTTGTGCATTACTTTAAGTTTAGCCCTGCTAAAAGAAAAACTTTTGGATACTGTATATTCCCTTTTGGTTTTTTTTTCGCCTGTATGAAATGGGGGTAGGCTTAGTTTTTTTTTTGGGTAGGCTTAGTTGAATGGCTGCAATTGTTTTGCTGTATTCTAAATGGTGCAAAGACGAGATTGCAATCTTTTGACTCTTACAAACTTTCAACATCTATATCGATCATCAAGACTTTTGACTACTAGTAATCCTTTGTCAATTTTAGAGTAAGATCCTATGAAATACATGAGTTTGTTAAAATATTGCATGACATTGATTACATACCTTCCGGGCGAGGATCAAAATTTTCATTGTTTTGATCATCTAGGAACAGAAACATATCAGAAATAAAATAGAAATGGAGAAAAAAAATTGAAATTTTATTTCCGAAATGTTCCGAAACAATGGTCAAAAATTGAAAATATCTTGCAACACCTCGAAACATAGAAAATTCAATATTCAATCACTATTTCATTTTTGGTTTCTATGGAAACAAGCACATTTCGAAACGAAATTTAGATTCATGCTTCTAGGACATTCTTGGATTTATATTATAAATTGAAATTATGTATATAGTGATTAAATGTAATTCTTTGGGCAGATGTCCTTGCCTTATGCGTGGGGATGAGGCCGGTTATAATGGTTGACTATGGTGGAAAGATGCCTGAATTGAAAGAACGACTATGCACCTTCCTCAAGTTTTGTCAAAAGGTATGACTCCAAACTAGAATATATATGAGTTGGTTGATGTTACAAAAAAAATTTGTTGCCATTCTATTATAGTTCATAGAATAATTTGTTTGTAACAAATCTGTGCCTTATGATTTTATATTTGAGTTGTTCAATAGTAGTATGAAAATTAATAAAAAGCATATATCGGTTGTCATAATCTTGAAATTTCTAGGTCGGTTGAGACGTCAATGGAGAAAATGAATGCTTGTGACCAACCCTTAGTAGTTAGAATTTAAGGCTTAGTTCTTATCAAAAAGGATTTGAGGCTTAGTTAAGTTACACTTCATTCGGTCATCTTTGTGCACATACTTTACTTGTGCATTTGATTACTCTGAAAAAGCTGTTCTCATTTTTTCCTTTTTTTAGTAAATTGGGAGCCACTTTCAAAAATTCTGGTTATAGTAGTCCAAACATAGAGAGGAGGAATAAAGGCGAACTGAAAAGGCCAGATTTTCCCAACTATCTATGGAATTTTTAAAAGTTGGTTCATATGGAGGTGAGTTTGTAATTAGTTTTAAAAGGTACAGTTCAAAGGGAAAAGAAATCATTATGCAAATAAAAATGGAATAGGCAAAAGGTTCTTTCATGTATTCCTCTTTCGTGAGAAATGTCTACCAATATCTTGTTTTTCATGGTTGATTTGAGTTGTTGACGCTTGGATTTCTTCTTTCTTGAGAATTGCTTAGATCTCTTATTTATTGAGGATTGCATATTGTTTGGCCTTGACGGTGTACAGGAAGTGGGCGGTCCTTGTAGCAATGTGGAAGATTTTAGTAGAAAGTAAAATGTGACATTTGTAAAGGTAAATATGCGAAAAACGTGAATGTGGAAAGAAGTTAAAGGCCTGGACTCTTTATGAGATGGGTCAGACTCTTACCCTTATTTTTAGTGTGTGTGGTCCTTGCAGCAATGTGGAAGATTTGAGTAGAAAGTAAAATGTAACATTTGTAAAGGTAAATATGCGGAAAACATGAATGTGGAAAGAAGTTAAAGTCCTGGACTCTTTATGAGGTGGGTAAGATTCTTACCCCTCTATTTAGGTGTTAGCGACAGTTTCGCTATGATTGTCTGCAAATTTGGATCCTTCTCAATGGGTATTAATTATTTCATAGATCCCTTCTTTCCCTTGAAGAGTTGTTGATTTTGCAGATGGCCTTTAAAAGAGGGGTGAGAAGATCCACATGAGTTGTGTTATGCATGGATAAAATAGAGAGAGAGAGAGAGTGGTCCAAGGATACACTTTGTGTTTTCCCAAGAGCAAAATAGGGATCAGAGTTGAAATACCTAGGCACGTGCCTAAAATCAGTTCAAATAAAAGGCCGCATGTGTAATGTGCTGGCTAATAGGCATTTAATATATTAAAAATCGAGTGGCTCAGGTTTGACTTGGTTCAGCTTGGACAAAAAATGAGGTTCAAAACATGATCAGAGTTCGCTCTTATTGTCATACAAACAGGTTTGAATGGCGAAAACGAGCCTAGCAGAGTAGCTTGAATTGTTAAACGGGCCTAAGAGCTGCGACGACTCGAATTTTCACAAACTCGGAGAATGAGTAAAAAGGAAGAAGAAAAGTAAATGAAAGATCATTAGGTTGGATAAATTGATTTTTCATTCATTTCCCATGTTTTCCCAAAATTAACATTGAAGACTTGCTAATTTAACTCAACCAAAATGGTCTCCCAACGTTGCTCAAGCATCTCTCCCAATTAATATTTAAAATAGTTTAAGTCATGTTCAAAAATAGCTTCCAAAATAGCTCACCCCATCCAATGTCTCTAAATATGCCCTTGGATAATGGTCCAAATGGGCCTCAAATGTCCTAAGACATGGGCCAAAAGTAGGTCAAATATACTACCTAAAATGGTCCTAATAAGTGGCCAAACATAGCCTTGAAACGTGACTAAAAAGTGTCCCAAGAAAATGTCCAACATGACGTGATGTCATGGCCTGAAATAGCCTAAAATGGGCTCAAAAAAATAGGGTCAAACATGTAATTAAATGGCCTTGAAAGGCAGGTCATGAAATATCATGACATGGCCAAAGCAGCGGCTGCACAGCAAGGCAAGGCAACATCACGCATGGGCAAGGCAGTGGCAAACTTGGGTAAGGCAGGTGTAGGCGTGCAGGCAGGCGCACAGGCAGCGCGTGGGTGGCTGGCAGTTTCTGCCCTGTAGAGATTGAGAGCTAATTTTCTGATTTTCTGTAGAATTATTGTTCATGGCTGCAAGCAAATTTCTCAATTTTTTCCAATAAATTGTCCTGCTTTCCCATTTTTTTTCCAAAATTTTTCGAGTCACTTTTCTTATATTTTTAGCCTATTTTTTTAAGGTTTCTAAATCCCTTCTTTTGACATCATTCCCACCTATTTAAAAGGTGTTTTACACACTTAACAAAACTTTTAATTTTTCATAAAATTTCGATATAATCTCCTTTGTTTTTCAAGCCTTTTTCCCACCTAATATTCACAATACTTCATCTGTATTAAGTATATCACAACTCACACTCACTCGGTGACCACAATCCATATAAATTAACATAAATCCCTTATTTTCAACATACACATCTAGCTGTCTCAATATACACATATGATACTCATCAAATAAAGATATACTGCATATCAATTGGGTTTACACTCTTACACTTTAAAATGACCTAAGACTTATAATCCACTACTTTTTCAAACTGAAATACAATTCATTTGGGCTTATACCCATACATACAAAATATGCCCCAAGGGGCAAATGTCCATTGAAGTCTCTTTCCTCTTCTTCCTTTAAGACTTCCTTAAGTCTCAAGTATCGAGAGTCTCATCTGTAATATAATATCCCACGAATGGGTCAGTTCAATTGCTGGTATGACAAAATAGTAATGTTAGGAACAAATTTAATGCATGGCATGTGTAAGTATACATTTTAAAAGTTACAATCCCGTAATCCCTCAATGCTATACAATGTCAATATGCATGACACACACATACAACTCTATGCCACCAAGTTTCTTTCTGCTCCCGTCAGCCCGCGAGTATTTTTATTGATCAGATTTTGAGTTTTTCACCACAGGATCTAAACTATCATAATGCATAACACCAAATGCTCAACCCACGCCATGTTTTCAATGATTCATGTATGTCAAGATGCCTTGATTTTTTTCAATATAAATTTTATGAAACATTTCATCAAAACATGACGTATAACTTAAAATATGCCTCATTCATAAAGTAAAGCATAACTTCAAATTTACCACACTTTTTCTACATGAATGTGAGGCACAATTCGATGAATTAAACATATGATCAAGTTTTAGGTTCATTACTTTCACAATTTTTAAAAGAAAATACAAATATACAAACTACCAACTCATGGAATAAATCATAACTCTCAAACCACAAGAGTTTCTCTACATGGACATAAGTTGGAATATAATAATCCAACACATATACAAAGTACACATTTATCATAGTAACAAATTGTCAAGAAAATCAAGGAATACAAAAGTATCTAAACTACTAACTGTAAGTTTTCAAAGCAAGATTTTCTAATATAAGTAAACACCTAAATCATTCAATCAACACATAGAAAGGTAAGAAAACTTAAATCTATTCCTAACTTAACAAAATATCATACCTAAAATTGTTTTTCTCAAACCGAGGGAGTTGTGTTCGCTATGCAGTCGAATCGATCGGTGAGAATATAGTCCTTGTTGAGAGGAACAACTTCCTAGAGGGAAGTCTTGCAAGAATCTTGGCCTAGGAGTTTGTTTTTGTGACTTGAAGCTTGGAGAACCTAGGATTTTTCTTCACTTTTTCTCCATGAACGTGTTCTATTCTTTCTCCAAACCAGAGAATGATATTTTTACACTAAGAGGGCTGTATTTATAGTGAAGGGGAAAAGGTGTAAAATGACTCTTTTGCCCTTAATGAATCCGAGACCTCATTACACTACAACCCGTCCCGAAACGCCTCAATTCGACATTTTTTTTAACCAAAGTTTTTAGTTATTTAAATGAAAATTTTTAAAAAATAAATTTTCGCGTGTGGCCGGTTTCACCTGGGCCACCTAGGATGCTTTTTTGGTCCAATTTATAAAATTATTTTCATTTAGGCTCAAATTCCCACAGTAGGTGTATTTTAACATTCTAAGTATGTTTCTCTTCTATGACATACTTAAATTATGCTTCTAAACATGACTTATGCCTAATAATGTATATGTAGTGTCCTACTAGCAAATGGTACATGAATTGTGCTCTACCGGCAAAACGAAAAATTGATCTTCATTTTTCAGATCTCTACATCCTTCTTCCCTTAAAGAAATTTCGTCCAAAAATTTAGAAATGTACCTCTATGAATAATCAACTCTGGATACCTAGCGCAGACTTCAGCCTCATGCTCCCAAGTAACCTCCTCGACCCCATGATGGTTCCAAAGAACCTTGACCAAAGTGATGGTCTTGTCTTACAAAACTTGGTCCCTCGAGTCCAATACCTCCACAGGCCTATCATCATAAGAAACATTATCCTTCACTTGAAGATCTATCCAATTTAGCGCATGTGAAGGGTTAGGCTCGTACTTTCTCAACATCGACACATAGAAGACATCATGAACCCTAGATAGCTGTGGCGGTAATGCTAGCTTATAGGTCACCTCACCAACCTTCCCAAGGACCTCAATGTTCCTATAAACCGCGACGACAGTTTCCCGCTGTGCCTGAATCTCCTCAATTCCCGCCGTGGGGCTACCTTAAGGAAGACATGTCCCATAACATCAAATGATAGAGGTCACCACCTTTTGTCTACCTAATTCTTCTGGCGGCTTTGTGCTGTCAATAGACATTGTCTAATCATTGTATCTTGTCCATGGTCTCATGGACTATGTCAGGTCTTAAAGCAGCTGTCTCCCCTACCTCAGTCTAACATACCGGTGAATGACACGACCTATCATACAACGCCTCAAAAGGTGCCATCTCAGTACTAGACTAATAGCTGTTGTTGTAGGCAAACTCTACTAAAGCAAGGTGATCTTCCAACTACCCCTAAAGTCCATAACACATGCTTTAAGCATGTTGTCAAGTATCTGAATTGTATGCTCTAACTGGTCGTCAGTCTGAGGGTGAAAAGTAGTACTAAATAGTAGCTGAGTCCCCAAGGCTGTCTGAAGACTCTGCCAAAATCGTGCAGTGAAATGTGGGTCTCTGTCTGAAACAATGGAAACAGGAATCCCATGTTAAAGAATTTTGGTTAAAGAAAAATGTTTAAGAACTTTGGTTAAAGAAAAATGTCGAATTAAGGCGTTTCGGGACGGGTTGTAGTGTAGCTGGTCTCGAATTCATTAAGGGCAAAAAGGTCATTTTGCACCTTTGTCCCTCCACTATAAATACAGCCCCCTTAGTGTAAAAATATTATTTTTTGGTCTGAAGAAATAGCAGAACATGTTCATGGAGAGAAAATGAGGAAAAATCCTAGGTTCTCCAAGCTTCAAGTCACCAAAACACACTCTTAGGCCAAGATTCTCGCAAGACTTCCTTGTAGAAAGTAGTTCCTCTCAACAAGGACTATATTCTCACTGATCGGTTTGGCCGCATAGCGAACACAATCCCTCGGTTTGAGAAAACCATTTTAAGTATGATATTTTGCTAAGTTAGGAATAGATTTAAGTTTTTTTCCTTTCTATGTATTGATTGAATGATTTAGGTGTTTACTTGATGTTAGAAAATTACTTAGGTGGTAGTTGCTTTGAAAACTTAGAGTTAGTAGTTTAAGTACTTTTGTGTTCTTTGAATTTCTTGACAATTTGTTACTATGATAAATGTGTACCTTGCATGTGTTGGATTATCATATTCTAGCTTATGTTCATGTAGAAAAACTCTTGTGGTTTGAGAGTCATGATTTATTCCATGAGTTAGTTTGTGTATTTGTATTTTCTTTTAGAAATTGTGAAAGTAATGAACCTGAAACTTGATCTTATGTTTAATTCATTGAATTGTGCCTCACATTCATGTAGACAAAGTGTTGTGAATTTGAAGTTATGTTTTACTTTATAAATGAGGCATATTTTAAGTTATACGCCATGTGTTGATGACATGTTCTATAGAAATTACATTGAGAAAAATCAAGGCATCTTGACACACATGGATCCTTGGAAACATGTCGTGGGTTGAGTACTTAGTGCTATACATTATAAGGGTGTAGATTCTGTGGTGAAAAATTCAAACTATGGCCAATAACAATACTTGCGGGCTGACGGGGGCGGACCGTGAAGCGAGACATGAGTGACATAGAGTTGCATGTGTGTGTCATGCATATTGACATTGCATAACATTGAGGGATTATGAGGTTATGACTTTTAAAATGTACACTTGTATATACGATGCCTTAAATTTGTTTCTAACATTAGCATTTTGTCATACTAGCAGTTGAGCGGACACATTCATGGGATATTATATTACAGATGAGACTCTTGGTACTTGAAACTTGAGGAAGTCTTAAAGAAATGAGAGGAAAGGGACTTGAATGGACATTTGACCCTTAGGGCATATTTTGTATGTATTAGCATAAACCCAAATGACTTGTATTTCAGTTTAGAAAAATATTGGATTATAGGGCCAGTTTAAAGTGTAAGAATGTAAACCCAATTGATATGTAAGATATCTTTATTTGATGAGTATCATATGTGTATATTGAGACAACTAGATGTGTATGTTGAAAATAAGGGATGTATGTTTAATTTACTTACATGGATTGTGGCCACCAAGTAAGGGTGGGTTGTGATATATTTATACATATGAAGTATTGTGAATATTAGGTGGGAAAAAAGCTTGGAAAACAAAAGAGATTATGTTGAAATTTTATGAAAAATTAAAAGACTTGTTAAGTGTGTAAAATACCTTTTAAATAGGTGGGAAGGATGCCAAAAGGAGGGGGTTTAGAAACTTTGATGACATAGGTTAAAAGTGGCTTGAAAAATTTTGGAAACAAAATGGGAAAACAGGAAAATTTGCTGCAGAAAACAGAGAAATTTGTTTGCAGCCATGAACAGTAATTCTGTAGGAAATTAGAAAATTAGCTCTCAGTCGCTACAGTAAAATAGTGCAGAACACATCTGGGAACCCGCGTGCTGCCTACGTGCCTGGCCTGCTGCCTGCACGCCCAGCCTGCCTTGCCCAAGTCTGTTGCTGCCTTGCCCATGCGTGCTGCACAGCCGCTGCTTTGGCCATGTCATGACATTTCATGATCTGCCTTTCAAGGCCATTTAATTACATGCTTGACCCTTTTTTTTTGAGACCATTTTAGGCCATTACATCAAGCCATGTTGGGCATTTTCTTGGGACATTTTTTAGTCATGTTTCAAGGCCATGTTTGGCCACTTATTTGGACCATTTTAGGTAGGATATTTGACCTACTGTTGGCCCATGTCTTAGGACATTTGGGCCCCATTTGGACCATTATCCAATGGCATATTTAGAGACATTGGGTGGGCTATTTTGGAAGTCATTTTTGAACTTGACTTAAACTATTTTAAATATTAATTGGGAGAGATGCTTGAGCAACGTTAGGAGACCAGTTTGGTTGAGTTAAATTAGCAAGTCTTCAATTTTAATTTTGGGAAAACATGGGAAATGAATAAAAAATCAATTTATCTAATCTAATGACCTTTCATTTATTTATTTTTTTTCTTTTCACTGACTCCCCGGGTTTGTGGAAATTCGGGGCTTGACAACTTGATATCAGAGCATAGGTTCGAATACCTAGAGACTGTGGGGTGTTGTTGAACACGATAGGGGTGTGACAGCACATGGCCATGAGTCATTAGTCTGGTACTCTTTTTCTATGAAGGATCATCCTAGTCTTAATTCTCCACTCCCTATTCCCACTCATAGAATCCCCATGCGGTCTACTCACCATCAGTTCTGACAACCCCAACTAGAATTTTTATATCAGATCCTTGAGAAATCACCACAAATCTGAGTTGTCCTATAATTGAGACTATAGAAACTGTGAGAAACCTTCCTCTTAGAATAGAACTCTGTTCTAGTCATAGGCTATAAGTATCTCCACGGAGTTGCTTAAAGAATGCCTCAGGAGAACTCCAATTATCAGCCTCACCAATCTTCTTGCCCAGCCAAACCAGACTCCTCAGACCCATGGAGATAAACAGCTTGCAAATTTAATTAACTCAGTAAACTTTTTGACTTCACCATTCTATTTTTCATTAACATCCAGCAAGTATTTTTTTTCTGATCATCTTGATCGCATGAGGAAGGTTTTTAAACTTCTTCATCATTATCAATCAGTCAGTACCAGATTGAGTTGTACAATGCATTTTTCCCAGATGTGATTCTCACCAGAATACTCATGGGACATTTTTAATCTCTCTTGATGCTATGTAATAACTTGTGAACTTCCTATTGTGGTGAGATTTGGCTACAATATAGACTGAAGCTTGGTCTATTAGTTGCAGCAATAACACTGGTGTATCATTTTAATCCCAATGTTTGCCAAAGTAATCAGTGATTGCTTAGCCGACGAATAACATCAATAGGGTTACCTTATCTGTCATTATGTGGACAGAGTTATTCTGTTGACTCTTTATATATGATTATTATCATCTGTTTTTGAATCCTTTGGATCTTCATCAAGATGGTTGTGTATGGTCTATTATTTCAATTTTCTTATTGACATTAGATGCATAGATGCATTTTTGTAACTTCTATGTATTTCCCCTTTTCTGTTGGTCAGGAGCTTCATGCCAAGAAATGATACATCTTTTTCTAATTTGAAATGTATCACTTATAAAGGAAATATTTTCTCTTCGTTTTTCAACTTTAGGAGTCGTCCATTTTCGAGCATCTGCGTGTCATGGTTATAGAAGATATGATATATTTGATACATGTCAGAGGTCTAACCGAACTTGTGAAGTCGACTTTAAACATGGAGACAGATCTGCTTTTTGTGGACATTGAGCAGGACCCTCCGAAGGTCATTTCTCATTGAAGAATTATATTTCTTTTTCGCATTTCCTGTATGGAGACCCTCATGTCGTTGTCATTCCAGATGATAACACAAGTGCAAGAAAGCTTGGTAGCAATGGAGCTTATCTCAGTTCAGAAATTGTTTTCCTTGGTCTTTCCCTCTGATGACATGAACAATGATGTCTTGCAATGCCACAGGACAGATTCAAGAGTGAACACTGAGTCGTCCTCTTTTGAAGAGCTAATTACTTCTCAGTCTGCTGAGTTTATTGATCTCAGTAGCTGCATGCAGGAAACTAAGGTCACAGTGCCAACTCTTAATGGGTAACTCCAAACTTTCCCTTCACAAGCACTCGCAACCATTATTGGTTTATGTTACTTGTAACATATATGAAGTGTAACTTTGGTTTAATTATTCCTTCATAACTTTCATGTTTTGGTTATTCCAAGCTTAAACAATGTAAGCTAAGATGTTTCTGAAACTTTAAACGGATTGTAATGCACCTTCTTAGAATGATGCATTTAAAGTGAAAGTTTACATCTTATATGATTCAGTTTTGCAGTAGAGACCCTTATTGTATCCACAACTTCCATTTAGGATTTCGATTTCCTGCTCCCAGAGATATATAGAAGTGATGAAAAAGGGAAAAAGAGGAGAGAGAGAGAGAGAGATGAACCGGTGAGAACTAGTTGGGATGATGAATTCACAAGTAACTCACTTTTTTCTCCCTATGTCTCTTGTTCCTCATATTCTCATACTCGTTACTCTACTTAATTTTTCAAACATAGAAGAGATGTTACCCTTTTTACTATATTCTCAAAAGAATTAGGAAAATATTTTCTGTCAACGATTCGTCATGATTTCTGAGAAATATATTATTTCCACTCAAAGGAAATCATTTCAGTGTTTGTTTCACCTCAGCTACTTTGTTCCTCGCAGTCTACTATGAAATATGTTATATGTAAATTTTATATTCTCTTCTCCTCTCTTCTCTCTCAAACCTTTCTCTTCTCGTTAAAACCATAGAACTACAAACTTCAACTTGAAATCACAGTATCAATCATAACCTAAGGTCTCAAGTCTCGTTGGAACAAGTTGGAGTCAATCATACGGATTTTACGTGTTAATGTCAGCATTTGATTTGTTGACGCCAACACTGACTTGGTTAGAAATTACATGGTTTGCTTTGCCCCTAATTTTTAGTAATTATTGTTATTGTGTTGTCTTTTTTGGAAATCATTTAAATACATTTTCCATTTTGAGTGATTTTTCTGAATAAAGGTTGTTGGGTACACGCGCACAAATGAAGTACTCCTTTGTTATTATTTCTTTTGAAGGGATTTAAACTTTAAGAAATGAATTAAAGATTGTCCTATGCTTAACAAAAGCTTAATCTGAGAGATTATGAAATCAAACCTTGCAGGTCACTTGCATGTGTGTTTCTGCCGTCAAAATCTTAAAGCACTTTGTGAAGAGAACTATCTCACATCAAATATACTTGAGGGGCTATTCCACCTATTGCAGATTGGTTTTGGGTTGGATGCTCTAATATGGCATCTGAGCTGGGCTTTGGGTGATTGGTGGGCTAGGCCTTTCCCTTAGTTGAATTCCCCGCTTTGTTTTGCTCGGCCGATGAAAAATGAATATCTTTTTATGATCGGCATACCCATATTGGCTACCGTATCAAATACGATACTTGTTTGATACTCGAGAATACATATCGAATACGCCCCTTACCTATCTAATAATATTAAAATATGTGAATACTTTGCAAATACTTTTATAATGGCAAAATATGCATAATGTTTGAATTTAATGTTTATCATCTCCTGTGCAATAAATCAATACAAATTCATACTATTTTAAAGACGCTTAAGCGTTTTTTAATATTATTTACTCTTACATGTCAAAAGAGTATTACAATAATTTATTATACTATAATTTTAGCGACAAATACTTCGAAGCAAAACCAACAAAGTAAATATTGATTCTAATTCCATTAATTAGTCACCTTCACTTTTTGAATATACCTTAATGAGTAAAAAACTGATAATTTTGCTTGTTTTTGTTAAAGAATTACAAAAATATATTTATTAGTAAAAATATAGCATATTTTATTATAGAAATATCTTAATCATATTTATATCCTATTTTTTTAGATTTTATTGTATTACCAATCTGTATCTTATCGCAGCTGTATCTCGTTTCTGTGCTTCATAGGCTTCAAGATGTTTGTCTATCTATTTGACTTTGGTTTGTTAGTCCATCTGTTAGTCCGAGTTGCACACGAGGGATGGAGTGAAGATAGCTATCTCACATCAAAAAATTAAGTAAATCTAAGGTTAGTTTATATGCTTTAGGGGCACTCCATGAATTTCCAGTTGATTTTGGGTTGTATCCTTTAACACGCATTAAGCTCCTAAATTTGGTTATAATACGTAACGTCCACTATATGCGTAAAGGTGGTTGGATTAATTACAAAGTTTAAATCAAGTGGCTAGTCCATGGTAATTGTAATTGGGGTGATGTTGAATCTTCTTGTGCATAACACGTACCCTATAGGACTTAATAGATGAAAGACCATGATTGTTGAAAGGCTTAAAAGTGCCTTACATAGCTACTGCCTGTTGGATCTTTTCTAAGATGTTAGGTAGGTGGTTGAGTCGAAGCAGAGAACTTCAGTTTTCCCTGCAAATACCGTTTAATTTCTGTCATGTTTATTTTTAATCTTTTCTGTTTATTTCTTCATTTCTTTTGTTAATTCTAAATTCTATGAAGTTAAGTGCTGCTCAATTAAGTCTTATAATTTTCGCTATTAATACTGCAGATGGCTTCTTGGTTATCCAGTGGTGTACTTGTTCGGCAAGGAGCACATTGCAGATGCTATATATAACCTTTCAATCAAATCTCTTCATCTTTTCAAAATTTTAGTCTGCAGGTTTGTTGTCCCAACTTCTTTTTCCCATGTTTTGTTCAGAATTTGGTGCAAGAGGAACGACTTTGCATGGTCACTAGAGTGATATTTATGGCTTACTTGGGAGTCATATATTAGGATCAGTGTTTTTTTTCAGACTCCTGTAGATATATGCATCCCATGCTAATATTATTTTGTGATGATATGAGAACTAGTTCAGAATCTGTTGTTTTTTAATAGCAAAGTTTATTAGTCATGGAAAAAAGAGAAGGGAGATTTTTCGTTTTCAAGGATTTTCATTATTAAAAAAAAAACTCAAACTGCAAGTATAGTTCTTGGGAATATAATTTCAGGGAAATACTACTGCTCAAACCCCAATTATGGTGTCTTCGAATTTGCCAAATCATATGCACATTAGGTCCTAATGACTGAGCACATCACCTATGCCTATGGTGTCTTCCAGTTCCAGATCCGCCGATGCATATGACTGTTGGTCTCATGATGCACTATTGCATACCACGTACTTCTATTCTTTTAATCTCTACAGCACTTGGCTTTCATTTCAAGCACATTGTTTGTAGTAGTCTATACTGTTCATTAAGGCATAACTTCATTTTGATACTGAATTTTATACTGTTGTAGGAATGGCACCTCTAATAGAGGATCTCCGCAACAAGAACTAATGAGGTGAGGCTTCATAATCACAAATTTGGCTTAGTGTCTTTCCATCTAATACAAGAAAACAAGGGTAAAGAGGGGATTTCTATTGGAGGAAATCCAAGTTTGAAGCTGTAAAAATATAATTCTTGCAAATATTCGGTGAACAAGGGGAAGAAGGGAACTATAAAAATTTCTGGTTCCTTTGTATGGTTTTTTTTTTTTATTCCGTTGAACAAGTATTTATTTTTTTTGCTATCAACATTGTTACAGTAAGTGTTCAGAAGATGGTTCAATCGTGTGACTCATCAGGTGAATAGATGACCCCTAACAAGTCATCCAACTTGGTTAAAATTTGGTGTGGGTTCAATACAGATGGGCTTTGTAAGTTTTTATATTACCATCCAATTGCCGCCCTTTTCCCGACCTGTACATCTGGTGACACAATCCATTGTGTTGTATGATATGGAGTGAGCTTCTATTATCTCGTAACTAACAGGAGTGAGCTTCTATTATCTCATAACAAACATAATTATTAGAATGCCCTGCTTTTAGAACAAGAAGTTCCACTGGTACAGTGAATGTGGCTTGTGGTTGGTTATGAATGAATTGTTGTCTGTTCAAAAATAAGCTGCAAATAGGAAAGCTGAACTAGGATGGCTGCAATCATTTCATCAGGAAAATCTGGAGCTGGAAACTCCTAGAAAACTTAGTGAAGTCAGCCTAGCTATATACTTGCTTGAGACATGTACAGCATGATCTTGGCCAAGATATGTTCCAAAGCTCCCTGCCCCCCGGCTGCTTTTTTTTTTTTTGTTAATAAGGCAACATTTCACCTTGTTGAGCTGCTTCTTGTTTATCAGAAGTTTATATACATGTGTAAATGTACATTAGCGTGCAAGGGATATACGTTTGTATTACTTTTTTTATGAGAGGGATATTCATGCACATCTGATTTGATATAATTTTGAGGTTCAATTTGTAATATCACAGTGGGGGGCAAATGTATTGATATTTGCTTTTGGCTTTCTTCTTGACTTTGTTATCATCAAAACAAAATTTTAGCAGGGAAATTTATGTAGAGAAGACTAAAGATCAGACTAAATTCTTTGAGAGGTATCATGGATTTGACATTCAAACATTAGTTGAATTTGGAACCTTGGTGCAAACATAATTTGAACTACATACATAGTACAATATTACGTGGCTGGCATGAAAATTCTGGCGCACGGCACATTATCCCTGTATAAGTGGGAGGTCTAGAGTATTTGGTTCCACTAAAATGTGGAATATACCAAAAGAGGGTTTATGCTCACTAAATTGTTGGTTCTTTTTCGAAATTATTAGAATATATATGATACACCCTGTAAACATGTTGATAATCCTCCAAGCTAAAACATTTGTAACTTCCGAGTTTTTTTATGTTATTATCTATTCCCAGTACGATTTGAAATTTTACTTGCCTTAAATGCTTTAAACAGTTTTTCAGTGCCTTATGACCTGAGCATGGAAGGTGCCAATGAACCATGGGCGAAAGCATTTGTGGTTCGCATGCAGGCAAGGTGGGAAAAATGCAGGCAAGTTTGGGGATCTCTGGAGATGGAGGTTAGTGGTTGCTATCCACAAGCAATCGCATTATAGTTTTTGCCTCCAAAATGAATAAAATTAATCAAGATTTTTGTATAGAATATATTTTATTTTCAATAAGTTATATTAAACCAGGAGACCCGATTAGTGGTTTGCGAAAAGAAACATTAGCAGTAATGTAATTATCAACTTAAAACGTTTCATATGAGCATAAACAAGTTTTTTCCATTGTTTAACCAAGTGTTTGGAGACAAGCTATTCAAAAAATTCGTATTCAATATAGCTTTTATATGCTACGTGTTGCTCATTACAGCAGTTGCAATACACTCTCTTTGCTGCACATTGTTCATTTTTAGTAATTCATAGATTACATTGTAATATAGCATCATTTGTGGTAGCAGCTTTAATTTTTGTAATTCTCTCCAGACATTTTGTACTGAAAAGCATCATTTCATAACCATTCTGGCAGACATTAACTTTCTTCGCTCTATTACATCATCAGTCCCTTGGGCAACCTTAGATAATTAGTATACACATTCATCTATCTCCTAAAGCTTTTTCTAATGTTGTCGTACCCCTTTTCAAATTTTGAACTAAGCTCTTGACCAAAAAAAAAAAAACTAAGCTAAAACATTTGTCTGCGAAGTTTTTTGATATCCCCTGTTACTGTTTCTTTCTTTAGCTTTATTCCCTTCAAACTTATTCCCCTACCTTCTCCCCACTCCATTCCAGACCCCACCCCTGTCCTGAGGGGTGGGCATAAAATATCCATGCACCCTCCCAAAAGAGACTTACAAAGAGGTGTTCAACTGGCTTGATCTGGAGGTCAAAGAGACTTGATTGATCCCAAATCATGCCATTTCAGGAATGAATTGCAAGTGTGCAGGATCCAGATTTCTCTTTTTGGTCAATAAATCTGCCCAACTGGTCAAATTTTGATACATAATAAAGGTAGTAGTACAATGCACGGGGTTCTGTCATTGTGGAGTCTAGGGAGACAAATATATCTTGCCTCCTTTTCGCTTTCCAGAGGATGATGATGATGGAAAGAGTGGATTGAGCTGAAAAGCTCATGCAACTCTATTTTTTCAATATTTTAATTATTTTTCCCAATATACCAGTGGAGCACTCTTGACTCGAATCAGATTCTTATCCATTCTTGATCAAAATTGGCCTTAAAAGCGTAGTTTCTCGACAATTTAAAAAAGATAGATTTGACCTGAATACGACTCTTTTTTGGAGGTGGTGTCTAACTCTTGGAAACAATTGGCCCAAAGATCCCCATTAAACAATTTCTTTTCTAAATCATTTACCTTGTATCTAGTCAGGACATATGTCTTAATTTTTGCATCTGAATTAGTTTCTTTTTGTATTCCTCTAAACGGATATTCATGCTATCTGATCTACTTTCACTGCCCCATGCTATTGCTTAAACATGTGTGTGAAGAGGTTGTTTCTGAGACTTGAATGCACGATCCTTAGAGCAACTCCAACCAATTCTTCAAAAGCCGTTTTTTAGCCATTTTACTGAGTCCAACACCAAAAAGCCTCTCCAATCCACTCTCTATCCCACTTTCTATTTCTCATTTCACCAAAAAGGCTCCCCAGATTTGGAGAGCCCTTCAGCCTCGCCAAACGTTCTGAGTCTTCACACAGAGTCTTCTTCCTCAACAACTCTTCTTCCTTCAACAGAGGAGTCAATAGCAATCAAGAGCTTGGAGTTTCAACCAGGTACTTTATTCTTCTTCTTTATCCATGCTGAAAACCCACCTCCTCCGCCATGCTGAAACCGAAACCCCCCTCTCCCTCCCCCATGCCGATAACTCTATTGCGTTGATTTGATTTAAATTTTTGGTTGAATTTTGGGTTAAATTGATTATTTGGTTTTTGTTATTTGAATATGCTCTTAGACTTGCTTAAAGTGGATGTGTGTTAAATTGCTATTGGATTGGATTGTTATTGGTAGAATTGATGAAAATTATGTATGGTTGAAGTAACTTTGGTTTTGGTCATTTGGCTTTTGTTATTTGAAGTTGCTCTTAGACTTGCTTAAAGTGGATGGGTGTTAAATTGCTATTGGTTCAATTGATGAAAATTATGTATGGTTGAATTGCTATGGTTGAATTAACTTTTGTTTTGGTCAATTGGTTTTTGTTATTTGAAGTTGATCCTAGAATTGCTTAAACTAGATGGGTGTTAAATTGTTATTAGGTTGTATTATAGGCATTACTTATGGAATCATTCGAAGATGGTTCTTAATTCACCAATCTCTTGAATGATGACAACTTTGATGAGTTTAAGATTGAATCGGTAGGCCACATAGGCCAATTTCTTCAAGTAGAATCCACCACCAAAAAGACTCAAGGTGACAACTTTACAGTTGAAGAAGACGTAATGATAATCTCGGCGTGGCTTAATATTAGTTTGAATGTTGTTCAAGGAAATGAGAAAAAATCAAAGACGTATTAGCGAAGGGTTTGGGAGTATTTCAACAATTATAAAACTCAAGAGAATTGTAATCGTACTGCTATTTCTTTGATGAAACGTTGATCGGCAATTCAACTAGCTATCAATAAATTTTGTGGTTGTTTTTCCCAAATTGAAAGGTTGAATCAAAACGGTTTGATCGAGAAAGATAAGGTATGAGTGCACTTTTAATTGCAGTTGCAAAATAGTGCACTTTTATTTACATGATACATACATTTCTTTTATAATTTTCAAATTTGTGATGCAAAAAGTTGTACAAAGAATTGTATAAGTCCACTTTTCAGTTTGAATATTATTCAAATGAGTAAAGGTATCAATCAAAATACATGAAGGATTCTCAAGGAAAGAAGCAAAACACAAAAGGTAGTGAAACTACTTGCAATTCTACTCCTTCAACACCAAAATCAATAAATTTAGGAGACGACATTGGTTCATACGGAGGCTTAGAGAGACCACTTAGAAGGAAGGAAGGCTGAGAAAGAGTGAGTAAGAAAATCAAAAAGTAAATTGTCTGAAGACGATGATACAAGTTTTTATTTCGTGAAATTGTTTGAAGATATGAAGGAAGAGAAAGAACATAATGAATGAGAAGAAAGTCGAAATGCTTAAAAGATGTTATCTTCAAGAGCAAGAGCGACTAGATTACGAGAAAGTGAGGATGTAAATGGAGCAACTAAGAGAGGAAGAGAGAATAATGTCGATTGATACGATTATCATGCCTCTGATGCAAGTTGAATATTATAAGCATCACCAAATGAAAATCCTAGGAAAAAAGATGTAGTTTTTTTTTATTCGTAGACAAAACAATTTCTGAGTAGTAGTAAGAGCATCTCTAGTTTTTACTCTTTCTTTTTTCTTTTACCTTTTTTTAAAAAAAGTAAAAAAACTCTTAAAAATTTTCTCCAATACTAAATCCGTACTCATGCCAAATGAGGGGAAACTATTTTTTAAACCTAAATCAAGAGACTTAAATCGTTACTTTTTTCACAAATTGTGAGATTACACTGTCCTTTAAAGGTCCAATGGTCATATTTACCCTCTTTTAAATTTGAGTTTATCATTCTTTAAATTTGGGTTTATTTTATTTTGAATTTGGGTTTCTCCATTGAAATGTCTATACCAAATCAAGTTTTTTAGATCATCTTTGTTCCTTACCATTTTTTAAACCCTTTTTTTAAAAAAGGGTAAAAAAATTCTTAAAAACCTTCTTCATTGCTAAACTCATACCCATACCAAATAAAAAGAAACATTTTTTAAAACCCAAATCAATGGAGACTTTGTTTTAAACTCAAATCTTTAATGGTTAGATTACACTTTAAAGATTTAATGGTCATATTTTATACTCTTTTAAATTTGAATTTGTCCTCATTTAAATTTGAGTTTTCCTTTCTTTAAAAAAAGGGTTTGTCTATTGGAGAGACCTATACCAAATCAAGTTTTTTATCTTTTTTTTTTACTCAAATTTGAGTAAAGGTTTAAGTCTCCATTGGAGATGCTCTAACCCTTTTTTTTTTACTCAAATTTGGGTAAGAGTTTAGGTCTCCATTGGAGATAATTTAGCAACAAACAAGTACTGTAATAAATATTCATAAACAATGAATGCTTAGTTAGTGCATATAAATTTTCATGCATATTTCATAAGTGCTCAATTAGATCAACTTGGACTTTCGATTGAGTTTCTCTGTCTTTAATGCGATGTTGGATATGATTAAATTGGAGCAGTTCTGAACTCTGTTCATGTATCAATGTAGGAGTAGGACTTTCATCTGATGCATCATAACTAAAGTCCATCACATTAGCTTCCCACTTATCCTCTACAATCATGTTATGCAATATTATGCATGCCTTCATAATATCTTTAAGTATCTCAAGTTTCCCAAAACATGCTAGTCGACACGCTATAACAAAATGTATTTACTTATTGTCTCTTGAAAATGGAATTCTTTTGACAAATGTTGTCCCCTTTGGATATATACCATCAACAAGATAATATCTCATTGTATACTCGCTTTCGTTGATGGAGTAATTGACCGCAAGAACTCGACCTTCCAAAAGGAGAGTAAAAATAGAAGAGCATTCTAGCACATTGATATCACTGTGGAATCCAGGTAATTCAAAAAAGGCATGCCAAATCTAGAGATCATATGAGGTTATCGCCTCTAAAATAATTGTTGGTTTATAGACGTAACTAGAGTACATACATTTTTATGCTGTTGAACAATTCTTTCATTTCCAATGCATAACAATCAATGCTACCTAACATCCCAAGAAACCCACGTCTATCTCCCTTTGCCAATAATCTAATAATGTCATATTTGTTTGGTGACGTGAGGTACTCATCGGAATAAATTGTTACTATAGCCTTTACGAATCTTTGTAAACTTTCTATTGTGGTGCTTTTGTCAATCCTCACATAATAATAATCATCTGCTGTAACTCTATAAATAAGCATCCTTATAATGGTTTGTCATCTTTTGAAGGGAAGACAAACCAATAATTCCAAGAGCATTCTTTTTTTGGACAAAATATTGACCAAAGTTTCCACCATGGATAAAATATGAAGTAAAAGGAATCGATTCATTCGAAATCTCCTTCGAAATAAACTTGGGAGGATAAATAGGTGATTCAACAAAATAATTGCGATAAAGTCTCTCATGCCCTTTAACTCGATTGCAAAAAATAACAAAATGACCTTGAATAGAACCACGATATACTCCAGATATGGTCTCGCTGCTGAGTTCCTGTATTTCCATAGAAGCAATCGTTATCATCTCCAATTCAACATCGAAGTTAGAATCGTTAATAATCGTCTTGAATGCAGGATGACGAGTCATAACAATTAAACAAGGAATAGTGTAATGACAGTAAATAAATTTGAGGTGTATGACAATGAGAAGGTGAAGGTCCTATTTATATATATTCAAAAATATGATTGCTTTGAAAAAATATGACCATTAAAAAGGTGATCATTGCAAAATTTAAAATTTGAAAATTTTATAACGTGGTATAACACGTTATCATGTTATGTCATCAATACGGCGATGAAGTGCTAGGTTACATGGCATTTTCAATTTAAATTTTTAGAAGTTAGTTGAAGTAGTTAGCTAAAATAGATAGCGTAGTTGGAGTGAACTTGTAAAAGTGACTTTTTAAAATAGAGAATATAATATTTAAATATATTTTGAGTAGTTAAAATAGAGAATTGCGATGGAGTTGTTCTTATGTAACAATAGAGTTTCATTACTCGTGCGCCTATGTCTTCCCCCTTGTGATAATGATGATATATGAAATTATAAAGGAGCTCATTTTTTTTTCTTCTTTTGGACATTATAATCAAGGTAGATGTCATGCTTGCTTTTGTGTTCTTATGAACTTTTTAATGATGTTCAAGAGTGCTGCCGGACTATGATCAATACTCTCAAATTCAATCCATTTTCCACAGCCATTTTGAACCCCCAGCCGCTAATTGTGTACCTGATGTGATTTTTTTTTTTTCAATTTTAAAGTCAAATAGATAGCATAATTCTACTAAGAAAATCTTATCTAACATGCATAGGAGGGGCCATACCATATACCAACTCGGTGTCTTTTTGTCGGAAGGAGTAGATCAGTAAAGGGGGCTTTTGGGTTATTGCTTAATGTGGTAGGTGAGTTTGTACACTCAACTCAACAAAAATTTATCCCGAATATTTGGTGTCGAACCTTCCTCCGTTGTTATGGATTTAGATTTTTTTTAATGTTTTTTTTTTGGGTATTTCTCTCTTTTCACTTACCTTGAAAAATTTGAAAGACCCATTAGATACAATGGATCCTACTTGAATTTATTGTAAATAATTTACCAAAAAAAATAAAGAAAAAATGTATCAAAAGAAATCTCACTGTCGTCGTGCTAGCTGTTGATAATTTTATGAGTATGTATTTTCCCCTGATCAAGCGGCCATTGAAGTTGCAAGATATTATTAGCAAACAAGGTATTGTTGCTTTCTTTTGTGATCTGTTCAACGGGTAAAGTTTAAGGAACGTTGGTTGAGGTAGGTTGTCCTACATGCTTTAAGTGATTGATGAGGCCAACTGTCTGTAGGTGCCACCACCAAACTTTTTGGTGGATCTGTTTTTGGTCCAAATGTGACCCCAGCAGAGGATTCAGCCAACCTCTTGTGCTATCTCTAAGGGTTTATTTGCTAACTTTTCATCAGAGACTGGCACTAATTAAAAATTGGGTAAATAACCCCAAAAAGTTAATAATTTGCCTAAAGTGATATTTAATTGCTGTTGATTTGGTGTACTGCAATTGATCAAGTGCTTCTATCATTCCTTAGTAGTGCTGAAGACATGATTTACATGTAATTGGGCGCATTTCGCTATTATGTTTTATACACGAACCCAAAGTGCACTGCATTGAGAGACGGTTGTTGGTTATGAATTCCTCCATTTCAAACATGAGAATGAGAATAAAATGCATTACCTTCGCAATTGGGTTAAAGATAAGCTCTTGCATTTTTTAGGTGAAAGTTGGTGAGAAGTGAGAACCCTTTCCTTAGGTTAGCTTTGGAAACTTCTATGTTCTTTTTGATTTTTTGGGACATCTTTTAAGCCATTGTTGGTTAAAACCCTTTCCCTTGGTTAACTTTGGAAACTTTTTGTGTAGCAAGAAATTCTCCAACCACGCATTTGTTGCAGTCATGAATCAAAGAAGCTCGAGTTTAGAACATGCAAATTTACGTCTCATCCTTTATTTGCCCATTGCACCAACTCATGTGAATTTAGAAACTTTAATTAGTCCATATATTTACCCTCTTTTTTGCCACTAGAAGGTGGCAGAGATCATCTTCTTCAAAGAACAAATGTTTTATCAGTTAAAGTCTGGATAATGACATCTTTTGAATTAAGGATTCAAAACATATTACTAATAATTCTCAAAGAAAAAAATAAAAATAAAATATATGATTAATGAGTTAAAAAGAACTTTGGTATGTCCTACAGCCAGAAGCAAAAACATTTGCCCAAAAAAACCAAAGGAGAGGCAAATTATGAGAGATGGAATCCAAGCTTATTCATTACTCTATTGCGTATATTTGACATTGTATCAGACTTAAAGTTAATAATCTCTTGAAACCAAGTCACGAAGAATTTATCTACAATAAATACCGTAGTATCGACATGTATAGTCTATTTTTAATCGAAACACCCCTAATTGTAAAAAAAAAAAAAAATGCTTTGGGCAACTATTTACTTTTGGCAAATACCAAAAAAAATTAATAAGAATAATAAATAAAAGAAAATGCACATTTTCATAATGGTTACTACTATTGAAAGCATTATTAACTGCAAACTTGATGAAAATTGATTTATTAAAACCTTCAAGCAAACATCTTTCATCATTACAAGCAAATAAAAGAAAAATTGATTGAGAGGTTGAAAACCTACTTTAATTGAATTGAACGCAAAACTCCTATCCGGAGAAATCAAAACTAGAATAGAAAAGGAGAAAGCACAAGGAAGAGCGTTAGCCCTTGTATTATGCTTTGAGAAGACTGAGGGCGTCAGATTCATTGGGAAGGGCAGGGATTGCTCCCTTCTTGGTGGTTGTGATGGCTCCACATGCACATGCAAATGTCAGTATGTCCCTCAACCTTGTTTCATTCTGCAACCATAAGAAGTTTTGCATGTTACTAGCAATTTTGAACTTAGAAGAAGTAGAAACAAATTACTACTCTGTCATTTGAATAGCTAGACTTTTTTTCTTTTGGTGCAGCGGGGAGTCGTTCTAACCGGTTTTTTAGACTCGTGATTACAATATAAATCTCGGATGTCCACAAGCATCCGTTAATTAGTTAACTTGGATTTTTGTGGTCAGTGGTGCTCAAACTCAAAATGTGTGAGTTTACGTTTCTCTCCTTGTTTGACTAACTAACCCATGTAATTTGAGTAGATAGAATTTGGGTATATGGAAAATATAAAAAAACTCATAACTAAAATAAAAAAAAAATATATGGAAAATATGAGAATTGTATGATTAAGATTTCGCTGCATCACCTGTCTCCCGGTTAAAGTGGAGTGGCATGACTTACTTATGAGGTGATTTGGGCAGAAATTCAAAGGATCAATACACTACAAACCACAACTAACAACAACAATAACAGTAGTAATCAATTGAATACTTGCCTCGAGTATGGATTGGTCATCGACAATCTTGCACAAGAGGGCACCAACGAAAGAGTCACCAGCTCCAGTTGTATCCACCGTTTTGACATGAAAAGCATCAATGGCTCCATGGAAATTCTGAATTGTGCAAGTAGGGGAATATTTTTCAAGTGTTAGACAAGTCGAATAAAGCTGGTTAGACTAAGCCTGGTTAATAAGCTATTTCTTTTGGTTGTTGGAAGCAAAAAACACTTTCTTATGAGCAATTGAAGAAAATAAGCACTTGACCTTTTCCAAAGTGCCACAGACGTATATTATAGTGTAAATCCATGATTTACCGACTTATACGATTCCTATATTTTCAATGTGGGAAGACTGGTCAAAAACAACTCCTGGAGACTTGGTGAGTTTCCGGGAATTCCTACTCAGTTAGAAGAATTCCAAAAAAAAAAAATGTGGGAAGACAGGTGAATTTATACTGTATAAACAGATGATTTGTCACCAACCCTATAATTTTTTGATCTGGTTGCCCAGCATGGCATAATTCTTCAATAGATTCGATTTTGACCTATTTGTAAATTCTAATTTGAATCCAATCTAAATATCTGAAATATTCAGATTGTGATTATTTGTCAACAATATCGGATTTAGATGAAAATCCCACCAAATGAAAAGCTAGTGACCCCTTCCAGATTTCTTCAATTCATAATGTTTGAGGGGTGGGCTATCCCGACCTGAATCACTTTTCTACCTCAGCCTACTGTATTAAACTATGATTTTGCAAAGTTATCATGCGCAAATAAAGAAACATAAAACTTCAAGCATGATATGTGATAAAAATATTATGGCAGCATTACCATAAAAAACAATGTTATTCAGAGTCTCTATCCTAAAGGTCAAACTCTGTGGGGCCTGCAATTGAAACTAAGACAAATAACTGGCATAAAAACTGAAAAAAAGTTACCAGTGAAAAGGACTGCAACCTATAAATTGTTGTACTGCAACTGCCAACTTTCATTTTTTCTCTTAAAAATATTTCCTTTTGCTATGAAATCCAAAAAATAAAATAAAATAAATTGTGATCTTTAATCAAGCATAATTCCTTAAACATTCACAAGATTTGTCCGAAACCTGACTCAATCTAATTGATAAAATCATCAGAAGGTAAATTTAATGATCCAATGCAGTCATAAAATGCTCTGGCTAATGATTCGAAGGTGGTGGATCCAAATCAGCAAGAAGTCAGTTAGAGTACATAATTTTTAAGGTTTTATACATAATGCACACATCCCATCACCTTGATAAACAAAGACATCATAGGAAATTTTAATACGAAAATAATCTATGCAGGAATTAACTTTAGAATTCTTAATTTAGTGGGTCTGATTTCAACAAGCACCTTTCGGGCTCTGTGATATCACCTTAGCATTCAACACAAGAATTAAATCCCAAGAAAATATGTGTTCACATCTTAATGAACTTCATCAGCTCATTTCGGTTTTAACCATAGAATTGAACAGAATGGGTTAGACTAGGTTACAAAGAGGTAGGTGCTAGTTATAATCCATTTGAGGGGAAGTTATGACACAAAAAATGGTAAGTTACGACTCAATAGAATAAAGTAATGATTCAAAAGAGAAAAGTTAGACTCAACCCTAAGGACTTAGGTTTGATCCAGACAATCAAATTTTTGTTTATAACAACACCAAACGGAATTATTTTGTAACATCTGTAGGTATAATACCAAAAAACATATTTTCTAACTCAACCAAGAGCATAATTATTGGCGTACCTTAGTGTAATATCTGCAACCCTTTTCTCCAAGGGTCACCAGCAGGAGCGTCAAATTTGGGTGCCAGAGTGACATTGCTGATTCATCATCAATCTTGTCACTCCCTGTGAGGAATTCCAGCTCAACGTCGCTAACCTTGATCACATCAGCCTTGTCCCAAATGCTCATGATCTGCTCACGGGCCTCATCGGCCGATGGCCACAACGGTAGCCGGAGGTTCGGGTCATAGGAGAGTAGAGCTCCGGCATCCTTTGCTACCTCCATAGCCTTCAAATGTGCTGATCGGCATGGCTCCACGATCAAGCTGATTGATCCATAATGGAAGACTTTAGCCTGTGACAAAAATACGAAACAACCATCCAATATAACTGACATTGTAATATCAATCTTTTAATCCAAACTAATCAAAATAATTGATTTTAGAAAATTGAGAGATAAACAAATTGCAAATTGACATTTCACATAGCCAAATTTTGGAGGGCCATCTACCCCAATTGCTCCACCTAACCTTTGTCCTGCACTTTTAATTCCACTCTACTTTTCTACAACCTTACTTATTACCTAGGTCCAAGGTGTCTTGCCCTACCATGCCCCCAGCTCTACTTGAGGTAATTGCTTACCACCGAAGTATTTGGTAGGCCGAAATGCCACCACCAAACAATAAACTATCACATGAACAGATGAATCTCGTATACACAATGTGTTTGGCAATATATCCCCATTAATCCTACACGGTAGCTATTTGAAGTGAAAATTATTAATGATTATCATTTAGTGAGATCCGCGAGTCTTATAAATTAGTTTATAATTGACTAACAATATCCCGTTTCAATAATAGTTTCACCAACAAGTGTATATAATTTTTTTTTATTCGACACTAATATAGAAGAGGAGGAAGACGACAAAATTTAAACTTTCGACTTTAAGATTCAATAATTGAGGCGATAACTATTAAGCCAACTGGTAACGTAGAGGGATTGAAATGGGAGAAAATCGGGGAGATTTGAAATTGAAAGTATCAAACTACATTGCCCATCCCAGAACACCAGATTCCAGAATATGAATAATTTCTTCAATTAGTGAGGTGTGGGTTCCACCAGTGTAATGCATTGAAAAGTGGGGAAGCTCGTGGGTATGCCAGTAGAATGGGGTAAAGTGGAGTGTACTGCGCGTAGGGAATTTTCCAAGCAATAAACAACCCTTTTCGCTAACTACAACAGTGTTAAGTATTTAGTGCACAATTAATAGGATGGAGAACTATGACAACAATGCCACCGACTTTGCCTTCTCGGAACACCTGTCCTCAAATTACTTCAATCTAGCAAAAAAAACAAAATCCAGAACATAAACAGTAATACTTTGAATTCTAAAGGGAATCTCAATTTTTGAATTGAATAAAAAGAGCAATGCCCACAAATATTTGCTTAAATTTTATATCCCAAAATTAATGCAGGTGATTGAATTAGTTAGGTCCACTAACTTCACCAAATATTCAATGCATAAATTTTAACGATAACTTAGAATATAGGATTTGGACAACAAGCTTTTTAAGTCCATATTTTAGGTCAATGAGAGTAATTGATTAAATTTATTTTTTAAGTCTATTGTAAAAAAATTTAACTTGATGAAATGCTATTATTGAATAGGTGAAAAATATAAAATAGACTTAAAAAATTAATTTAAAATTTTGGTTTAAGGAATCACTACCATTAAATAAAATATGGTTCTCAATGAATAAATCTATGACAAATACAAAAATTACATCATCAAATCAGACTTTTAAATCAATTTTTTAAATCTCCTTAACATTATAAGGTTTGTATTCAAGAGTTTGATAATTAGATGGAATTTAGCTCCCTTTATTATTCCTTTATTTATTTTTGTTATTGACCGAGTGATAACCATTATTCAATAATTTTCTCACAAAAAAAATCTTCTAGATTTAGTATTGCGGGAAATTGAAAAGAATGGATAATAAAGGGGATCTGAATCGAATTAGACAATGGATCCCAATGCTGACGTGGCAGATTTTTTAATAAGGTAAATCAAGCGAGAGATAAAGTAAAAGCACGTGGATTATAACAAAGCCAAGAAGGCGCGTGGAAACAGATCCGGTCAAAGTTAGGAAATTCAAGAATCCATGAAAAGATGATGAAATGAGAACGAGAATACTTACAGATCTAATGAGTTCCAGATTCAATTCCTCCGGCGTCAAAAGCATATCGGCGCTGGGGTTTCTATAGAACATGAACTCACGCTCACCGTCGGCACGTAGAGTCACGAACGCCAGTGCAGTCCTCGCTCCTGTATCGAAATTGATTCCGTCGCCTGAAACACCGTTCTCTTTCAGTATTCCGGCCAGCATGTGGCCGAACTCATCGTCGCCGAGCTTGCCAACAAAGGCCGATTTGCCGCCGAGACGAGTCACGGCGATTGCGACGTTCGCCGGAGCACCGCCTGGGGCTTTCAGAAAGCCAGGTGCTTCAGCGAGGGATACGCCGGAGACTGTGGGGACGAAGTCGATCAACATCTCACCGAAGCTCACGATCAGGCCCTTCGATGACGCTGATGATCCATTGTTCCCTGCCATGATGATGATCTTTAGAGAGAGATAGGAGAGATCGGAGAGAGTAAAAGGGTGGGTATGGAGGGGTCTATATAGATGGAGAGAGGAGAGAGGAGAGAGGAGAGAGGAGAGAGGAGAGAGAGAGTTTGGAGGGCTAATTTTAGGGAGAGTGAGAAGCGGATTAAGGTAATATAATAATTCCGAAAATTTTATCTAAAAATATCCAAATCTTTTGCAATTATTATTGTGTCGCACGGAAATTGTAAAAAAAAAAAAAAAAGGTCGCATATGGATGGTCGGAAATCTTTACCACATATAAGAAATGAAAATTACACTGCCACACCAATATTTTTTGCTGATTGTAACTGACACCCTATAATTTTTGATATTTTTTATAGGACCCATAGAATGACATTATTTATACTCATTTTTAGGTTGGTTTGTGTTTCAAGGTGTATTCCTTTGACAAGGACCACCGAAAATTGGTTATCCTTCAGAAAAATTAACTAAAAATTCTTCAAAATCCTTTTTTCTTTAAAATCAACAATAACACAATAATTGTAATAGTTAACGACCCCTCTGACGTAATAAAACAAGAAATAATTCATATAATCTACGACAAACATGTGTGTACCATCGCCCCTCCTTTAAAAATAACCAACTTGCCAAAAATCCATAGCCTTTAACTATTACCATTAAATCGAAACCACTTCACCAACAATCAAATACAGCTAAGCGTTGTCCTACTGCACCAAGAACACTATGTTGTCCCATCATGAACATCAAAAAATAAATAAACTCATTAAAAATGAGAGTGAATAGGATAACACATAAATGAACAAGAAATCAACGAAAGTAAAACTTTCAGGTTAGATTAACTCAGAAGTACAGCAAGAAGAAATGAAATTACTAAATAGTCATCTACAGTTCATACTTGGGCAAAGATGACTAACAAGAACGCGAATTGATTTTCTAAATCAATATCTCAATCAAAATCAAAAAAAAAGAAAATATAAAACTAAAATAGAAGCAATATGGGAAGGTGCGAAGGGTTTGGGGATGAGAGAGAGAGAGAGAGAGAGATAGTTAAAATGGGGATGGTGCTCAATAGGGAAAATGGGAAAGGGTAGAGAAACATATATGGGAAATGTATAGGAAGATGGGTATGTGTGTGTGTCTGAGAGAGAGAGAGAGAGAGAGAGAGAGAGAGAGAGAGAGAGAGAGAGAGAGAGAATGTGGGAGGGGGTGTCTAGGGAGGAGGATATGGATTTTTTAATTATGCATTTTTTTTTGGAGAGGGGTATTCGAAGAGAAGGAAGAGAAAGACAAAGATGAAGTGATGAAGGTGGTGGAGGGGGGGGGGGGGGGGGCGGGAGGAGACGTGTGGTAATTAAGTACACCTAAGTATGTATTTTATGTAAATGTGTGCGAGTAAATGAGTCTAAGAAAGATAGAAATGTATAAGAAAGAGATAACTTTAATATCACTTTTCAATACAGATAATATGATCATTGTTGACTTCATTAATACTAATATAAATAAAAAACTAATTGGGTTAAACAACACAAGGATATATAAATATTCAAATCTAACCCATGCCTCTCTCTTTTTCCATTGTCATTTCTCCATGATTTAGTGATCAATGGATATGTAGTGTCTAATACAGTAATAGGATTTTTGATGTTTAGTGATTTTTGAATTTGATTTGATGGGGGTGACATTTCTTGTGGGTTGTGTGCGTAAGTGTGTATGTCTCATTGTGAGCTATAGTGGTGCCTGTGTCGTGGATGTGGCTAGGTTTTTGGGATGAATGAAGGTGATAGAGGTTGGGGTGGAGGTATGGCGGCAATGGGAGTGTTTTTAGAAAAAAAATATGATGCAAAAATGAATTTTCTTACTATTTATTATTTTTATTTTTAAAATTAATGATAAAATGTGTAATTTGCAAAAGATTCGATGATGTCAGTAGGAAGTCAACTTCATTGCTGGGGTTTACCTCATGACAAAAAGAAGTAGCGTAGTGTGATGTAAAAAATCATGAGGGTATCACTTGAGCTTATTGAAACCATAGATGTGTCCATGTAATTTTATTAAATATTAATTTGCAATTAACCCTAATTTGAAATATCCCACCTTAGCTTGATTGGTTATACTTAAAAAGTCATTTTTTCCCGTTTCATCTCTAATCATTTTGTCGGCAATATTATACAATGTATATAAGGTACTCTAATTATATTTTAAACATACCAAGTGTGCATGATTAAGAAGAGTCTCTTTTATAATAAAATAAACTTTGGGGGTCTTCATGTAAATGTTTGACATACCAAGGGCATCTTCAATATAATTAATACGTTACGCAATCTGAGTAGTTTTTGGATTATGGATAGTTACTTTGCGTGTTATAAATAATTTGGATAGTTGAAGATTGACCAAATGTAGAAGATACTACCCAATACCAATGCCAAACTATAAATATCTGAAGTAGCTTTAGATAGAGAAACAAATATTTATGGACGATAGATATCCTTATGTTTGCTCTATATGTTAAAGAACATTGAAGACATTTTTGTCAATTCATTCTCTCGGAACAAATTTACAAGCTGAGAGAGAGAGAGAGAGAGAGAGAGAGGAAGGAGAGAGAATCTACTCCTGAAATTTTTATAATGGTGGATTTAAAGTGAGACTCACAATTCACTATATATAAAGTGGGCCTACACAAATATGCTACTGATTATCTATTATTGAAAAAACACAAAAAGAAAACATATTTAATGGACTAGCAACGCACGTAAATATATTTAAATAATATTTTATATAAACATATAAATTATATTTATAATTAAATTGAATAATAAATTATGTGTCAAATAATAAATTCTTATTTTCATTATTAATAAACTTAATTATAGATGTATTCTACCCTTCTTTGTAACTAATTTGTCCATGTTTTGGTTATTTCTCCGACTCTTTTAGATATTTTCTCTTTTTGTTTATAATGTATTTTAAAGGTAAGATTTTTATTTTTGAGTATTTTAACATCTAATTATATTATAAATAAATTTATTATATATTTTTATCAAAGAAAATGATTAAATTAAATATATTGTTTGTATTATAATATTATGATATTATTGTATATCAAAAAAATCAAATATGACATTTATTTGACTATAAAATTTAATCTGACAACTACTTCTATATAATGATATAGATTGAACTTTACTTATTCATATAAATATAGAAATAGTATAAAATTATATGTAAGTATATTACTAATAAATAATTTCAAAAGAATTTAGAAGTCAAATAATATTAATAAAATAGTTCAAAAAATATTTTAAAATCAAATATTACAAATAAAAAAGTTCACAAAATTTAGATGTTAAATACTACTAATAAAAGAGTCCAACACAATTTAGAAGTCAAATACTACTACTAAAAAATTCACAAAATTTAGAAGTCAAATAATAATAAAAAGAGTCCAAAATAATTTAAAAGTTAAAATAGGATGAAAGTAAATATATGGGTGTAATTGACTTTATAATAATTAGGGATAAAATAGAAAATCCAACAATTTTAAAAATGCTAACATTTAGTTTTTTAATATTAAAAGATTTGATTTAATTATAATATGAAATATAGTTTCATATATCATTTAACTCATAATTAATATGTTATTTAATTTTCTTTTCTAGTTCATAACTAAACTTGGTAAGTTTGCCTATTGAATTTTTAGTTTACCTCATTAATAAACATTGGATCACGATCTAATAGACTACATAAAAAGTATACACCATAGACTATGTTGCAAAGTTTTCATAATCGCATTATACTCTCTCTCTATATATATTATATATATAGAGAGAGAGAGATAACAAAGGCGGTATTTATGTTAAGAATTTGAAAGCAGAATGCACTTAATTAATTGGAAAATATCTACTATTTTTCCTCTCCATCTTCTCTTATTTGACTTGTTGGATATTGAATTACTAGCATTAATTCTATACACTAAGACATTTTGTACTATCAAAAATTGATTATTGATAATGTTATATTTATATTTGAAATAGTAATTTTTTTATTTTATTTTTTTAATTGCATAATTTAAAATTAAATTGAACACAAAGACAATAATAGTGTGTTTGGTAGTGTGGATAGAAAAATGGAAATACGAAAAGTGAGAATGATACACTTTCCAATTTTCAAGGAATGAATCTTTCTCTTGTCTTTTATGTTTGTTAGGAGAGATAGAAATGTAGGAATGATTAATTTTTTTGGGCGATTACAGTTTATCACTTAATTACTTAGACCTTGACATTTAAAGTATTATACATAGATCCCTTTTGCTTGAGGTTTGTATGTGCATAACACTTGTACCCCTGTCTTTAATGTCCATTAGCATATATGTTAGTAAATTATACTTAAGTCTCCTGAAGTTTATATGTATGTAATACTTAGGCCTCTCAAATTTTGAAAAAAGTTTTCTTAAGGGGTCTTGGTTGGCCACCTATTTTCAATCATTACAACTGGCGTCGACCTGCTTTGCGTGATACGGATGGGCAAGAATAAGAACGCATGCAGCGGAAATGTACAAGACAAGAGCAAAGATTCTTGACTGAGAAAAGAATCACTGAGAGATAAATTTACTATTTCGTTAAGACGAATGAATAACTATGGAGCATGCTCTGGAGGAGTTGACCCTTCCCCGAGTCAATCCAATCAGAAAGGGAAGGGCCTGTTGTCTAAACTACATTTCAAAAGTTTGAATACCATTCTAATTTTACCAAAAATACAAACCCGTCAAAATTATCTAACATTCCTTCCTTATGAGTGAAAATCTAATTATGTTTTGTCTTTTTTTGCATAAAAAGCAGTTAGATGATAATATATAAATATATATATTTGAAAATCTGATGCATTTCTTCTAACTTTTTTTGAAAAGTGCATAATTCCTATTCAAACAATGATCTCTCCAATCGGGGAACACATGAAATATGTTTCAAAATTTTGAATTAAAAAATTTTATTTACTACACACTAAGGACTGGGTCAATCTAAATTATGAAGGTTTTGGTCCAATGGTACTTCTTACTTTATGAAGGTTTTGCCTTCTTAAAGTCAAAGGTTCAAGTCTCCT